TCGACAGAAGAAAGTCTACCTGGGTCTTGAGAGGCAAACGTCGTGCGATCAGTTCAAGGCGGTAAAAAAACTCGTACTGTGCGGCGTCGCCTACTACCGAATGCTCACGACAGTCGAGAACAGCACGTTTGCGGCGGTCAACCATACGAGTGTATGCCCGTAAGCGAGCCTTCATTTCCTCCTTGCCGGTCATTTTTTAAAGCTGATTTTCTTTAGGTAAAACTCAATTACGCTCAAAACTGTAAGAAACGCTGGAAGAAAAAATATGTTACCTCCATGTTCCAAAGTAACCATAGTCGGTGGCAAATTAAGAGTCCAGGAAAAGCTCTTCCGACCTCCTTCCACATCAGCAGAGCGAACGCTGCAGGGGAGGAGACTTCCTCTCCAGCGTTCGCTCTTCTAGAGTGGGAAGGAATGGGAGAAGCTTCCCCCGAACTCTTTACCTGTAAGCAACTACAAGCGCCTGCTGCATTATTGCGTCAAATAATAATATTTGTACGAGGCTGCCAACTTCGCCACGACCACGATTTTTTTTTATTTCTCTATCTCTCACGCACTCTCTCTCGTTCTTTTTCTCTCTCTCTCTCTTTCTTTTTTTAAAACAATTAAGCACAAACAATGTAAAAATTAATGATAAGAAAGTATACATTGGGAGATAAAATTGGCCAAAAACGAATATGACATTCTAGCAACACGTCTTGTTGACTATATGAAGCAGCAGTGACATTGGTTTGAAGTGAATTGGACTAGATAAAGAATCAATGCTGTGGGGAAGGTAATCCCAGTCTTCAGCTGCGCGCGGAAACAAAAATGAAGCTTACGAGGTCACTGTTGTTGTTTTTGAGCGCACTACAACAAATGGACGACTTGCACGATAGGGAATGCGTGGAGATGGCTTGATATACGGTGAATCTGGTTGGAAATGATAACAGAATTTGTAAAAAAATGATAGTGGAAAAAAAAACAACCTTCGTCGAAGTCATTAATCAGCTAGTAATGCACGTTCTTTAAACCCGTTACAGTTATTTCGTATGAATAACTAGGGAAGATTAATCTGACTGCGCGATTTTGAAATGATTGTAGTTGATGCCTAACGTAATTCTGGCATGGGTCCCGTATTGCGGCAGCATAATCTTTGCTTTTGTCGAGTGAGCGTTTTGAAGGCTGCAAGATTTACGTTTTGGTGGTACATATCTGAAGTGAGGACGTTTTAGTTGATATACGACCAGCTCTCCATACATTTGAACGATAATGTATCGCTATAAATTCAGCCAACAAATGCGAACAACCTCAAGGACTGTTTTGAGAAAAATAATTAAGTCGACACTGTTTTTTTTATTCAATCGCGCAATAACTTGGCCGCAATACTTACGACACGCGTTAGGTCTCAGTTGGAATCGGGGGCTTTATGAAGCCTGCATGCTAATGCACACTGTTTCAGGGTCGCAACAGATATGCTATCATTAAAGGGGCGGTGCAACGATTTTCGGACTTCGGTCAAAGATTTCTGGAAGTTGCCCCCTGACACTTCTGAAGTAAAGAACAGAAAACCGATTCCGCCTGCGCGTCCTAGTTGTTGCGTAAAAAAAAGATAAAGATTGGCATTTCGGGCACCCCTCAACTCACTCCCAGTCTTCAGGGTCACACCTGGTCGCACTCCCAGTGACGTCATTCGGAGTGCCGTGTAGCTTCCCGTGTGCTATCTCGGAGGACGCTTCCCCTCCCTCTCTCTGCGTACATTAGCGGGCGCTATGCTGCAGCTTAGAGCCGAGCGAGGTCACGTAATCTTTCCGCCGTAGTTCCTTCGGCTGTCACTCGGGGCTGCAGGTGGGGGAAAAAGCTCGACTTTTGCTTTGCGATTATGCAGCGGAATCGCGACATTTTTAATGAAGGAAGTGTTTTCTCTATCCTCCGGGACACGATAAACAACGTAAAAGTGACGAGACGCAAATTCTTTTAATCATAAAATCGTTGCACCGCCCCTTTAACACTTTAAGGGGTACCTTAAGAAACTCAAGGCGTGGCTGTTCACATTTCTTGCTTTGTGATTGGTTCTTCTGCGTTCTCATCGGTTAATACCACAATTCCCTTGGTTGCCGATTGATAAGAAGATTCTTGAGACTCACCGCGCCCTATGTTTTATCAGCTGTCGGGGCCTATAGCAGACCACACACGTACCCATGGTTTCCTCTGTTAAATGCATTTGCATGGAATAAGCGAACTCTCCATCCTGCGAGAAGTGCTCTTCTCAGCAAGCGTTACGTCTCTGCCAAGAAGGTACAAAGCTAAATATATTTTCGGACAATCCAGGCAAGGCTGAGGCGTTTCGTCGTGTTCATTTTGTTGACCGTCCTGGCACCGAGTTCTAAGCGCAGATTTTCCAATCATGCTGTCTGATCTTCCGATATAGTATTCGGAGCGTGTCCCCCCCTTGCAAGGTGACGCTACGAATGCAAAGGGGCGGTCATCGGCTACCTACTCAATATCCGGCGAACTCTACCGATGAATCAACACAGAAATAGAACTCCAAAGATCCAGATTCGTTGTTGAGTATATTACGAAAGGCACTCTAAAAAAAAGGGAGTAGTACTTCCTCCCTTAAAGGAGGAACTCGCGTGTCCCTTATATTGCTCTATAAAGGGAGGAAATTCCCTCCTACAAAACGGGGAGGAAATTCGCTCCCCTAAGAAGGGAGGAAAATTGCCACCCTTTTTCTGTCAATGGAGGAAACTTTCTCCCCTTCTGTAATTGATATAGCTTCCAACAGATGGAGCTCAAAACGGCAAAAGAAAAACAAAAGGTAGGGGCGGCGTTGTTTTTTTATCTTTCTTTAGGTTCTGCCGACTTTCGAACGCTACATGGTAGAGATGCACATGCATCACTGAACACACAGAATACACGGAACACAAGCAGATTAACCACGTACACAACAGCAACAACGCAGCGATACCGGGCCCCCTGGCCTCTCTACATACTCTAAGTTCGCACTAGCTCTATACATGGCAGACTTATTTTTGAATCCGACTTTTTCGGTGACTGTCATCATTTGGCGCATAAACACGGAGAGGCGGAGTAAATATTACTCTTACTTAATACATTATTTGAATTGTCTTGTGAAATACCCCCATCTCTTAATTCAACACCCTGAGCAAAGCAAATGTAGATCATTAGGCTAATTAACTCAAATTTAATAATTATCTTCGGAATAAGTTCGATGAATCATCTTGAAAATGCAGTGCTGGAATGCAGTACACTGTGGTAAACATTGCAATCAAGCTGTTGCTTGATTGCAGTGTTCAGTGCCAGTGTAATTATTTTCAGTTTTCGTGGGGTGATTAATAATTTTAATTGTTGCACAAGTTCAACAAATTTTCAAACAAACAATATTACTGATTTTAACATAACTCGTTGCAACAGCAGAGAAGATATCTTGGGTCATGCTTTGTCACCGGTGTTACAAACATTTAGAATTGTTTTAATTTACGAATATGGAGCGTTTCTTCTATAAAAAGTAAGTGCCGGGAGTGATAAAGACCCACGAATCATGACTTTGGTATCCTCAGCAGACAAGTAAAATAAGACTGTCTTTAGTGATATAATGCAACCGCTTGAAAACATCACATTGCCCGAGTCAGAAAAATAAAAAGCCCGTGTTGAGAGTTTTAATAGATCGTTTAGTCACCCCCGCAACTCCATACGCAATCCGTTATGGCTTCCGCTATATGTACCGTAGCGGAGTGGCGTTTTCATGTTCTAGTAGAACGTTTGCAGCCTGGTGCAGAATATAGCGTTGCGAGAGCTAACGCAACGGAACTCTTTCGGACACTAAAGCTAAAATAAAGGTTCGTAAAGCAATTGTTAGTAATCTTCTATTCATATCTCTATCTAAATAGTATTTTAATTTATTATCGAGTGCTTATGTTCATATTTGCTCCTTTTATAAATACGTCCAGTACGTTTGCGACGAGCTTGATATCCAGGTTGTTGACGCCGGGTTGGCTTGGTCGTGTACTACAGCCGCGCTTGTTTCGCGACACAAAAGGAATCACGCGATAATATACTAGGTCGGCCGCATAAAAAAACGAAAAAAAAGAAACGGAGCTTTCCTTCTTTTTTTTTTTTTCTTTTTGAGTGCGAGTTTTGACATGTAGCAGGAGATGCGGCGCAGCGCAAACTAAAAAGAAGCCGCGGTGAACCGTCGGCTGTGGGGAATCATTCGTTCCTTCAAGCCCGCGGATCTGCCCTCCTCCCCCACTTTGCCCCGCAACCAGAATGGAATGTCTGTACTACCCTTTCTTCCAAGTGGACTCTTCCCGAATGCATAGTTGACCTTGCTTTCCGGATCCGTTGCCTCGCCCCTTCCCCGAATCGTCATTTCAGTGTCGTTTCTTGTGCGGGGCTATGGTTTTTGAAAAATGCGTGTTCCCGCAAGCTGGTCGTGGTCCCGATTTGGACGGATTACAGCGTGTGTCGGACGCAGTCGCTCGCCGCAACGCAGTGCTCGTTCCTATCGACTGGATATATGCTGTTCTGTTTTATACAGAACTGAAATAAACGCCTCACGGATTACCTTTCGCTGTATGGTACGTACGCTTTATTTCAAGAGTATGCGTTTCTCGCGGAGGTGACGGCAACCAAGCTACCAAGCGCTCAAGTTGTCGCCAACGCCATTAAACATGTTTGCGGTGACAGCGGCGGTTCGACCGCCGCTGCCGCCACGAATATAGAGGTGGAATTTTCGTCCCTTTTTCAAGCGCCACTAGGTCGCGCTGCATGTAGATTGGTGAAAGGGAGGAACGAGGGCAACTTCCACCCTTCCGTTGGCGACAGGGCGGAACATCGTTTTTTCCTCCATTTCTCCTCCCTTTTTTTTTTTTAGAGATGTCCTGGCTAAAGCCTGCGTGGTTATTTATGGAGGTGCTTCTGTTCACTTCTGCTAAGGTTAACACTGCTACGAAAGCGTCCGAATGTTCGTTGGTCATTTCAGGTTGGTGAAAGAAATGAAGTTCTGCATGTACTCTGCAACGCATGACTCGGGTTGCTCTGATGCGCTGTTCCTGAACACGGAGATTTCGGTGCTGAAAAAACACTTGTTGCGGGAATTCGAGGACGTGTGCAACGCCCTGCCTCCCAGCGAGGACAAGGAGTTCAAGCAGTACAGGCAAGGCATGTAAATGTGTTTGCTCCTTCAATCCCCAGGCACATATCGGACTTGCGAATTACAATAATATTGAAAGCCAAAATCCCGATTACTTGGGCAGGACGACACACCTTGATGTAACTTCGATATAACTGTACAAACTATCGGAGTAACTAGCCTTGGTCATTATAATCAACAGAAGTTCAAACTAAAGCAATATGGCGTTAAATTGTGCGATAGAAAGAAAAACAATATTTTAGCTGAACCTCTATATTGATTACCCGTTTAGGTACGGTTCGGTACGAGGGAAAGCAGCGCTTTAGATTTCCCTCTGCTGTGTGAACCCTATGTAGTTCCAGTGAGATTTTCACCGAAGACGGAGCGGATCGCACTGTTTTCAGACAAAGTCTGAGTCAAATTTGTGGGTTTTACATGTCAAACCAACGACGGGCATCTGGCACGCCCAGCGGAGGAGTGGGGATTATATTTCGACCATATGGGGGGTCTTTTGACCTGCAACTGAAATCTCGGTTACACGGCGCCGTCTCTGTAATGAGCCTCCGTCAGGTTGCGGGCACCTCGGCCGGGAATCGAACTCGCCTCCTGGCGATCTGAAGGCCGGCGCTTAGCCTCGGAGCCACCGAGGCGGCCACTGTCGTCAGACTGTGTTTCTTTGCAGCTTGCGAGCTCAAAGAGTTCACCCAGGAATGGGAGACGTGCGACTCGGCAATGGAGGGTGACATCGGACACTTCTACCGAAACCGCACGGGACTCACGAAAATGCCGAGCATTAGCAACCGGGTCCGGCGGAGACTCTGCGCGTAAGCTCTTCTCAGATGTCAAGAGGCGACTCGCTTTTGTTCTCTAGAATTTTTCGGATCGTGTTCTGAGCATGTTCCTTCTTATCTCCCCTGTTCCATCCCATGTACGCAGTACGAAGAAAAAAAATCTGGTGAGATCACGTTTCTCCAGAACACGCAGGCAGTTAGTTAATCAATGTGAACAACAGACTGATCAGAGCGAATGATACAGCTCAAATTTCAATTAGAACTCAAAAATACAATGTCCGTAGCTACAGAGAGCGTCACGTTTTACTTAATTGTCTTGTCGCGCAACACATTCTTTAGGCCATATTAGTACTCTCCTTTTCGCGGATCCTCGTAGTTCGCTCGGATTCTTCCGTTGTTCGCAGTAATGTGAAACTACGAGCGAAAATGCAAACCTCAGGCGTATATTGAATAGGCGTATTCAGGGGTACAAAGGCGTTCGTATTTCGTTTTTAATCCGTTCCAATTAAAAACAGATATACTGTATATTGCATATAGGCCCTCTGAACCCGCTGGCGTTGAATGAAGTTTGGTTGAGACATTTCGCACTTAACGTCCAAACAACTGCCCTGGGTGGACGTTGAGCAGATGTCGTCGAATGTCGAAGACGTCAAGGTAAAGCGCAGGACTTTGTCAGGACGTCTCATACTTGACGTTGAAATACCCTCTCGAAGAAAACGTTGAGCAGGAGTCAAGTGATATCGATGACTTCAAAATGTATCTTGGGACATTGTAGGGACGTCTTGTACTCGACGTTCAAGGAACTTCCCGAAGAAAACGTAGAACTGACGTCGATTAATGTGGGTGACGTCAATATGTTGCTCAGGACATTGTTGGGACGTCTCGTGCTCGACGTTTAAAGAACTTCCTGGACAAGAGGTCGAACGGACGTCAATTAATGCTACAGACGTCGAGGTAGAGCTCATGACTTTGCCACGACATCGCGCGCTTGAAGTTGCGGAACCCTTCATGTGGACGTACAACTAACGTCGATAAAAAGTATGTTAAGGAGCTTGCGTCGCCGACGTTCACGACCTTATTTCAACGTCATCCTGACGTTTTGTGCTACCAGGGTAGGCTATGCCTTCGTGTTCTGCGAAAAAGTAAACACACAGGCTGTTTTTTATTTTGATAAAAAGAGGGTGCTTGGAAAGGAAAAGGATGCCTTTAGGGCTCCAACTCTGGGGGAGTCAGGCTGGCAAATGTATTAGTGAAAAGTATGAAAGTCGACCTTGAACATGTAATTCAGCTCTGGGCGTTGCTTTCAGAGCAAAAGAAAAAGCCGGAGGTAAAGTCGATTATAACTTGAAAGCAAAAGAGTTCAATGTTCTTCAAGGTTAAGTGCATGTCCTAACACCGTGAAACTTTATACAGCTGGACAACTTAACAGATAGTGCCTAAAAGATTCGAAGGGCATGTTCTGAGACATGACACTCCCCTCCTGAATGAATAGGCGTTTGGTCACCTCGAACTCCCCTTCAGGAGGACGTGAACACAGCTGCGACGTAAAGTCACGGCGTTGTGGAGATATTACAGCAAAGTTAGCGGCTCAAACAACGAGGCACTGCGTTGTCGAAAGGAGAGAGAAAGGGGGGGTTACAGAAGCTAAACGCCGAACCTATTTGACCTAAATCAATAGTCGGTAGAACGTATGTTGGGAAATTTACTTATTGCTGCGGAAATACCTATAGTCAGACCACACCACCTATGCGCCGTGTCAGTCACTCTATGCCGACGAAATGGAACTTGATTGTGGCGCCAGTGGAAAAAACTATTTTTCAGACAATGTTTCAACCTTCATTTCTGATAATTGTGTGTCTTAACAGAAACAAAAGCGAAGGGTAAGCTTCAGGTATCTGTAATACTCGTTCAAACTGCAACGCTGAGCTTGGGCGCTTTCATGCGCTCTAGATTTTAATGACAGGCAGACAGGTGCGAGGCCAGAATAGGCCTTAGTAAAAACCCACCAATTTCTACCATCGCCGGTTGGCAAGATTTTCGTAGTGAACGCGCGTTCACAACGCGAGTGCCGGCACGAACCCCTCATTTGAGAGCCTCTCATTGTCACGTGTGAGTTTGCGCAATACGAGCATATTTTCATACCAAAAGCTCTGGAACCATAAATCCCATGTATCCCTCGGCAATAACGAGTCTAGCGCTGCGCTGTAACCTAAAATAAATAAATACATACATAATATGGCGAACTAGCGAGGCTGTCTTGAAACAAGCGCACGATCCTCTCTTTGCAGGGACTTGAAGGGCTACCGCTCGTGCCTGAACGAATCAGCGGACAGGCACCACTGCACGGCGCTGGCCCCACAGGTGGCCGAGATGAGCAACGAACTCTTCGACCGCCTCAGCCTGGAGTACTGCGGCGGTTGTAGGGCCCGAACCACCTGGCTCCATTACGTTTTGGTCTTCGCAAATGTCCTGGTGTTCAGTTCGCAATCAACAATCCGTAGCGGTTAACGTGCGATACTTCAGGTTTATTTATTTTTTTACGAGTAAATAAAGTTTGAGCCATTCCCTGCAGCTCTCACTAGCGGAAGTTAATACTGCATACAGGGGCAGCATCGGCGTAATGAATAAATATTGAGGTAAAACAGCAAACCACCAAAACTAGCGGGCATGACTGCAGAAACACCCGGATAGTTTCTGATCTCTCATTGGGGCAAAGCCACGGCAGTCGGTATCGTCCTCCTTGTGAATTTCAGAATAAATCCCTCCACGGACATTCACGTAATGTTCCGCGGAATCTTCGAAGCACAAAAATTCAGCGCACGTGTTTTAAGTATGCCTATTTCGCGATGTTAAAACTTCGAAAAACGGATTTTTTTTTTTTTTGCAATGGGTTTTTAGCACACAATATTGTTAATGTCGTCTTTTGTACGCCTGTTTGTTTTTTGCCACCAAAGATGTTGACTATGCTTATAACTGGGATACTTGATACCGACCTTTATAATCGCTGACAGCTGCAGAAACAGACGGAGTGGTCTATTTCATTCACGCTTCGTTATTCGTATTTCGGTGTCTGACATCCTTTTTCCATCCAGGCTGTATTAAAAGAAAAAGTGTTTTTCCTTTGCATATGTGTGTTTTAGTTGACAGCGATATTAGCTTCACATGTACATCTTTATTTGCATTTTCTAATTTAATTGTAGAAACATGTATCTTCGTTTAATTATTGAATCTGCACTAAAAGGTTCCTATCATATGCATCATTTCATTCACTGACACTCGGTGTCCAGTTCCTCTGCCCGCGAGTTCACCGGTTTAGACCACTTCTTCCTCGTCACAAAGGCAGTCCCCGTATCTTGACGATGGAAGTCGAATGGGAAAGGCTGGTGCGCCAAAAAACTTGGCATGGGCCACTCGTGCCTCTCTTCCCGGGTACTAAAAGTGTAGGCTAGATGGCACTTCATCGGCAACAGCGGTCAGACCGACCGGCTCGGCTGCAGGTGAACCGTGCTGATGGTGACAACTAGTGGCAACAGCTCGCATGAGCCTTGTGAAAGGCTGAGTGGGACCGGGTGCCATTGGGGCGGCCGTCCAGACGAAAATCTTTTGTGTGCGGCAAACGTGACTGCGGATTCCTTCAAAAGTTGTTTGGAGAAGCTAGGATCGAAGACCCAGCCTGCTTGAGCGTTATTTCTATACCCACCCTGTCTCTCCGCAAAAATGCAGGCAAAGACTGGTTGTTGCTCCGCAAAACGGTATGAAGATTTCAAATGTTTCTTTTGTTGTTTGGTTTCACTGCCACCGTTGGTTTTTGCTTCTGGTGTCACTCGGTTCGTCGGCTCGACGACAGGAGATTAACAATTCTTGCGTGTTACGAGTTGTACTTGGTATGTTACCTGTAGATAAATCTTGCCGGTCTCGCCCATGACCTATTGATCTTGACTCTCTGCCGCGCTACTTTTTTTTTTTTTTTTACAGTTCGCAAACTTTGTGCTGCGTCTTGCCAGTGGTAGCTGGGTGGTAAAGGCTGCGCTTGACACAAGCCTAATTCTGTTTATTTCCTTTCACAGTGGCGCTTCCATTGGAAATTTCGTGGCCGAAGATAGCGCTAAGTTACCGAATAACAGACGTGCAGGTCGCTGATCTCATGGCTCACGCCTGAAACCATATGGTGTGCGCATAAAAAACAACAAGAAAATGTGTCCTCTCACTAAGCCTGTGAGATCTAGGTAAATGGCACGCCATGGCTGAGATACCTACTCCCAAGTAGGCACTACGGCTTTCAGCGAAACACGCCCGAATCCTTGGCAGACTACGCTGTCTCCGACTGCCCTCTACGTTTTCTTGTAGATTACAGAATGTTATAAATGGCCCCTATTTTACGTTTCAGTTTATACTATTCAATAAACAACTTCCAGAAATTCCTGCACGACACAATGTGCGTGTTGTATTTTGGGACCTGGTTGGCCATGGACAGGAGCGGCATGGTTTCGGTTTCGAATGCCCCGTTCACGGAGCAGTGCGTCTCAGCGCTGCATGGAAATAAAGTCAGCACTCACTTGCATTGCCCCTATATTCATCTTCGTGAGAGCCCCCGTTGAAACACGGACCTCGCTGCCTAGGCTTAGCGAGGCGTAGGGGTACAGCCTGCCTCGTCCCATGCTTTTCTGGGGACTTGGCGACGACTCCGGAGTGCGGCTTCACCTTTCACGGATATTTAAGAAGCCTAGGATATAAAGAAGACGTTGAAACGGGATAACCGGCCCAGTATACTTCTTCATTCATGTGCCGTAGTCGTCCTGTTTCCGTGTTTGCCTCCGCATAAACTCCGGTACGCCGGGAGCCCGAAAGAAACGTGCCCTAGCATTCTATCCGTATCGATCGACGACACCTGCAGTGTTATACAATTAAGGAAAGACGCATATTAAAAACAAAAGCTATTCATTTCGTCGTGACAAGATGTCCTGAAGTGATGTTAGCAAATCGAAATCGAAACTTACTGGGCAACCAGTACCCAAGACGCTTTGCGCGGCATCACGCCTCTAGGATCACTTCGATTCGAGAATAGGCCTATTGTGTTCCAGCGTAAATTCATAACTTCAGATATGGATAGCCTGGCGTCCAAAATAACCCGTCCTCGTTTAGTATAGTGCTCCTTAAATGTTTTATTGTATAGAGAAAGATAGTTGCCCTTGAGATGATTAAGTCTTTGCTGTTGCAAAGTTTCAAAGATGAGGTACATAATGGGCCTTGAATTTTCATATTTGCAATTTTATTAGTCATGATCGGTGACAATGGAAGTGCCTTAATTATCAGCATGGCTCCTGGAGGATAGGGTTTGACCTCACAACTAAGTTTAGTCGGTTGACAACGTTGAAATTCTGGAGGTGTACAACGATACACAAACTCGTAATCATAGGCCGCCAGTTTGACACACCATTGCATCATGCGCGAAAACGCCAAGCTGCGTTTCAACTGCAATAGCGAAATACGCCGCCAAGAAAAGGTTACGAAAGCTACCACAGGTAGTAACGCTCTAAAGACTAAACTTTTTGGATCGCCTTATTTATATCTCTAAAGACGCTTATAACACGCGCCAAATTAAGCTGCCATTGCCGACCTTCTCTTGTCTTACCGAGAAGCCGAGCCATTGAAGCGGGCGTTGACGAGCCACCACAAAGGCCTATGCTAGGGAGGACACAGTAGCACCTAAATGGGCAATAACCTCTCCTGCTGTGGCAGTGATGAAGTGAAGCGAACGAAATAAGAGGAACCAAAAAACTGAAGGTCGGATATGGCGGCGCCCTTGCACAGCTGCCTGAAAGCGTCTATAGGGAGTATTCACTGGCGGCCATAGCTGTGTGCGCGAATGCTGAGCGCGTGCTGATGGCGAGCTTCCACAGTTCTTTTGCAACGTGCATTCCGCACCATCAAGAGTGCCGGTCTTAGCAGCCTATTGATGTGAGCTCGTTCTGAGCATGCGCTCTAAACATGACCCACAAATATGGCGTCTAGTGAATACTCCCTATAATCTTCAGATATCAGCAGGTCGAGAGCTTTTGGTTTGATCTGGGCGTGAGTAGCGTGAGCTTGGCACAGTCAAGCGCAAGCTCTTGGCCAGGCCCCCATTGAACAAGCGCACGGGAAATGGAAGCACGTGTCCCCTACCAATATATAACAACAAAATAAATAGATCATTTTCGATGATAATGAATGAGGTTTTTTGGCGCAGCAGTATCGGGGCTATAGTGCGCCAGAGATCATTTTCGAATTTCCACCCCCTCGCGGCAGACGTTCACAAGCTGACAAATGTCATAATTTCCACCCCAAAGTAACCACGCGCAGTTTATTGAAAGGTTTATATTGAGGTTTACGTCATCCCCCTTAATAGTTATTTAAAGCATTCGAAGAGCGGGGACAGGTTTTAGAAAGATGTAAATATCGTAGAAATTTTCGTGCCCTTTTTTTTTTTTTTTTTCTCTTTTTTAAATTTTGATTACCGACGCCGGCTTGTGTATCGTCAAATTTATTGTCGGAATCGTTCGAGCAGCGCTGAATATGGCAAAATTCTATCAAGGCTACAGAAATTTTGAGTAGGTGTCGGACTCGCAGATTTCAAGCCATTCGTCAGAGAATGTGGCAATGATAATTAGCACGAACCCGTCAAAACAATTCCAGCTATCCGCATTGAAATCGAGCAGCAGTGAAGCCAACGCTTCCACTACAAAAGCACCGGGTGAGAATTCAGTCGCATAAGGCCAGAAACCCCTACAGTTATCATGTTCAGTCGTTTAGAATTTCAACCCAAGCTGATTACGTAAGACGCGTTGCCGGCTCGTAACATCCCAATGAACATTTCCTTAATTTTGTAGGCAGTAATGTGGAGGACCCTGACAGTCTTCCTCGCGATGTTCGCCTTCTCTCTAAACGCAGACAAAGAGGGTGACGGAAGAGTTCCAGTTGTTTGTGAGTATATCGACAGCTCTATAATTCTATCCAAGGACATTTGGTGGAAAAGCTTCATTAGTTGCAAAAAGGACTAAATTAAATTGCAATGGTCGTTTTTTTTTTTTTTCAAGTTGTCATTGGTCATTGGGAAAATAATATTTTATACCATATGTCAAACATATCGTTTCTGCTGTAGTAATGCAACTACACTTAACGTGCCTTTGATTACGCACTATTAAATAAAAGCGTACGCAACCGAACACAATCAAATTCTTTGCTTATAAAATTACATGACTTTACTTTATTATACAAAAATGCGTCCACAGCCTAAAATAAACTGTTCCTAAAGGAAACAAAGATACAGAGTAGTTCTGCAAATTGAGAAGAAAAGAGTCGTAGCATAAATGCCTAAATGGCTTTGCTTTGTTTTTTTTTTTTTTTTTCGTGGGCGTTTTTTTTTTAAAATTATGCTTGAGTAGACACAAACACATGAACACAAACACCTGAAGCTTAAAACGCCAGATGAGGCTCAGTAAAACCTAGAGTTTAAATTTCCTCACGCGAATAAGGACATTTTTAAGTTCGTTCTACTTCGTAAGAGTTTAAAAAAAAGAGCCTTCTGAAAACTTGAGAGGGTCAGCCAACGTTTCGCTAGGTTCCACTCTGAGGGTGCCATGAGGTCGCTTTTCCATGTTCTTCCCATCCGCGTTGACTACATTTGAGTTTTGTTTGAACTCCACATGAGTTAAAAATGTCTCGATCTTTTTCTTTTTTTTCTTTTCTTAACATTACGAAAAAAGTGTGTGAAGCGAGTTTTTTTATTTATTTATTTTTTCTTACAACTTAGTTCGGACCACAGCATGCATGGAAAACCGTTTACTCAGGCTCAGGCTGCAGTGCGAGGCAACCCTGGACGACGTGACTCGCCTCAAGCTACGCAAGGACCAGTCCGAAGCATGCAGGTACGCCGTGGAATTAACCCATTGAGGCGGGGCTTAATGGCACCGACTACCGAGGCACATCCCGTTTCATGCTCCCCTTAACATCCTGACATATCTTAAGATTGTCACGACGCAAAAAAGAAAGGCATTATTCTCTCGAGCTTCTACAGACCGCAGATATCGCAGCGCGTGACGCAGGACCGACGATTGACTGGTCCATCGAGTTCGTAGCATTCATCGCCACGCTTTGCGCAAACATTTGCGCCCATCAAATGATATACTTCCAGCGTGCTAGGTTTTGACACATTTATAGATTATAGCAATCTCGTGATCGCACGCACACATTTCTGGGCCGAATGTCTGCGAGAACTAGAAAGTAGTCGAGGCTCCCCTTCTTTGCTTGTCCTCTTGTATTCATCTGCCTCCTGCGCTCCCTCAACTCAGAGTAGCCCACCGAGGCAGGTAGTCTGGGCTGACTTCTTTGTTTCCTTCTCGAGGACGTTTTATTTATATATATATATATCTATATATATATATCGTTATATGCTTACTATCCTTAAAATTACGTATAAAGATATGAGTATTCTCCCCTACGAAGGGTGAAGGGGGAGTGGCATGACACTTGCAACTGAGATTGCAACCTACAGATGCGTACGGCTCTTCAACCAAAATTAAAGGGAACTTGTATTCACATCACTCTTAGTAGCTCTTTATCTTTCGTCAAAACAGGAAGCTTCGCAAGTACATCACTTGCATCGACATGGCCCTCACATCGACGAGGTGCCGCCAGGATCGCTACGTGTTCGGCCGCGAAGTGGAGCGTCGGAAGCGCCAGGTCGACACTTACAACTGGGATTGCAACCTACAGATGCGTACGGCTCTTCAACCAAAATTAATTTTAGTCACTCAAAATGCTCTTCCAGAAGTGGACATTGCCCGCGTTTTAAACCTGGTTTCAAAGCTCTTACCGCTCATTCACACTGGAAGCGGATCCGCGTTCGCAAAGCGGTTGCGAACGCAGTTGTATCAATATCCAGTACAATTGCACGCACACTCGATGACATCGAGTGCGCTTGCAATTGTACTGGATCTTTATACAACCGCGTTCGCAACCGCTTTGCGAACGCGGATCCGCTTCCAGTGTGAATGATCGGTTAGTCTCTTATTTGAAACACGAAAAGCGACGACTAAAAAAGAAAAACAAGTTTAACTTGCCCTGAGGCCGCAGGGCAAGTTAAACGATTGCAAGCAAGGCGACACGCCGCCGCCATGTCTCTGCTCGTGCGGACAAGCTCGTGCGATTGCAAGCTTGCCAAAGCCATGTTAACGCGCAAGCTGCACGTGCTTGTGCACATGGGGCACCGGTCGGGGCGCCATGCTTGCAATCGCCTATATATAAGCGTGTCTATCGGTCGCATGGGCACGTTGATGAAATCTCGTCCGCCAGAGTAAAGAATTTTCCAAAGGCCTCCCCCTATTTTGTTTATGTTAACCACTCCCTCTTGTACTGGGTCCTACCAACACCACCTATTGGCAAAGTACTCGACCAAAAACGTAGCATGGGTCGGCCCCCACTGATCTGTCAAAGGCACAGCATGATGTCTTTTGTAAAATTTAATCTGCTTTGAACGACGGAAATAAGAGCTGTCTCAGTTCGACGGTGCTGCATTTGAGCATGCGATGACTAAAGCTTCTATCTTGCTCTTTACACACACAATTGAACTTGAATTTCGGGACTCATGATAGGTTGCTAGGATCACAACTCGTGTCGTCATGGCTAGGAAAATTCTGGTCATGACATACCGGATAGGAACCATAAGAGGTTGTCACCGAAAAATCTCGGTTCAAAGGTTAACAATGGAATACGAGCTCCACCTACAGCGTGGGCTTCTCGGTCTCGGTGACACTAAGGTGCCTCGGGGGAAGGCGCAACTAACTCACGACGCTAGGCAACGTACGCGTGCTGGAGGCGGAGCTTCTGTCGCATTCTTAACCTGTCAATGACGACACAAAGCAAGGACTGTGCGCTGCATATTTTATGATACCTACCTCGATCGAGAGCGGGGCCTAGATCACGAGTGCTGCGCCGACGGGACTCGTATTCAATCAGTGCTTTGTACTCGCGTTTCTATTCATAAATACTTACTTTATTCGTCGCAAAGGTTTCTGAAAAGTACTCTTAGAGAAATTGAGTAGCTCCGGTTAATTTGCAGTTTCGGAACTCGGATGGATCCTCCTGCATGCAATGTGAACTAGATTTGTATCTCTTTCAATGTACTGTATTTTATTTCGTACACCGAATGGGTGACTGCACAAGGAATTGTCGGACTATTGTTGTCCTGGTGGAAGCCACATCGTACGCCTATTGGCGAAACCTATAGTAGCCTCGTTTCCATCGAGAACAATACAGCTTAATTGTAGATGACCGCGGTTTTCTTGGTACACACCTCTATATTTAGCTCCTTGCAACTCTCTCACTCTAGCTATATTAAACGCAAATGCTTCGGTTCGCCAATGGGGGTAGTTTGAAATCAGTAGGGCGTTGACTTCAATTTGTTTCGATGGGAAAATTCCAAGAAAGTATCACCTGCTTGCGGTGGTGTACGGCTCGTTATGACTTCCAAGACACCGAGACAACGAGTTTGAGCACCAAAGTCTTAATTAATCCTGCAACGCGAGCGGGCCATTTCGCAAGCTAGACCCTGACAGCTTCAGAGAGATACAGGAATGTTGAATTCCGAGCATCTCATTATCGCCCCACAGGCAGTTGCGGCATTAGTCGGCAAGAATGCCGAAGTACGAATCACGAAGCAAAATGCCTGAAGCTATTAAGCAACACCGGGCGTTCCTTAAGCTGTCAGGGGATGGACGGGTGGATGGATAGATGGATGAGGCTGAACCCTTTGAATCAGGCGGTGGCTTGCGCCACCTAGCCAATTTCTTCTTTTTTTCCTAGCATTTATTCAATGTAGATTTATGTATCAAATCAAATCAAAGTTTATTCAGACAACCGTCGAGGAATACAGTTGTCTGGGGGGCCGCCACAAAAGGCATCGGCATGCCTGACAAGGCGACAGCCCCCCCCCCCCCCCCATCTCCACGGCCATACAAAATGAAAGTCTCAGAGGACGAAAACTACTTGATCATGAAAGATCCAACATAAAATCTCATAAGCAGTACAAAACACTATATACAAAAAAACAACAATGAACTAAACCCAGATTGCCCCCACGTTGGACAAACAACAACGACGCACATTAAGTTTTAGGCCTGCACATACACGGCAGACAAAGGGGCCACACACAACAACATAGTGCAGCCAGTCAGCGATCTCTACAAAGATATTTCTTTAAGCCCGCAGAGAAATGCTGCACAAAAAACAACATACGCGCACAGCACACACAAAAAAAATAATAATGAAAAAACATCTTATTTTCGAAGGGACAATAGATAAACATTTATGTTTATATATATATATATATATATATATATATATATATATATATATATATATATATATATATATATATATATATATATATATATATATATATATATATTGTATACATATAACTCCAGTCGAGGAACCGCAAAGATATAGTATGGTGCCTGGAGCGCGTCTCTGACTGGTGTGTTTAGCGTCCTATCCCGCCCATACATCAAAAGTGGTCCACAAGTGGCAACAAATGACGTCACAGAAGCCGGAGTGTCATGCTGTTGCCTGTCGCAATCCAGGCGGTTGGGCGTAGAAATGCTGGCGAAAAGCGCGAGCGAACGCGAGTGTCGCTGTCGTCACGGCGTCCGAGGCGTCCCAGCTTCCGGCTGCTGTATCTTCCGAGGACTGTCACACTGGAGAGCGACGTACAGCAGAACAGGCGCCTGCCATATACACCACAACTGTTAGGACGCCGCCAGGATCGCGACCGGCGACAGCATGACATTTGTATGACGTCATCAGGCGGAAATTGAGGGACCACTTTTTGGGGCGCTGTAAACACACCAGTCGGAGACGCGTTCCAGGCACCATAGATATAGTAGAGGCGAACCGTACTCTTCGCTACAGTAATGAAACGAGCGTACCATCCGCTGCTACGAGCTCGCACTCCTGTCTTTCATACGAAGCATTAGTAAATTTATGATATCCCTGGCGCGGCTACCATGAACCAGCATTAAATAACTTGCGCCACCACATTCAGGTATGTTTAGAGGCGCGCGCTCGAAGCGGTAACTTGTTTGCAAAAGGCGATCCGCCAAAACATAATATCGTCATAGTTCGAGATGGTCGTTTAGACGATGCGACTTTGCAGAGAACTACGACTACATCGTATGCGACAGCCAAACGTTACTGAAGAGACACCTCGCCTGCGGCACTGCCTTCGATCGTGCGATTGTCCAACTAGATTTTCAACTTGACCAAGACAAAGAGCAGCTGTGCAGGTGAGGCTGAAGCTAAAGAAACTGTATATGGAAAGCAGGGATGGGTAGTACTTCAAATGCAAGCATTGGAAATATGTATTTAAAATATGCATTTAAGATACTCTGAGTATTTTATTGCATATTTGATTACATATCAAGGAATTTATTTGTCGATTGTATTTAAATGCAAAAAACCGAGTATATGAAATCCTGCCCAGATACAATGTTGTGCACTGCCCTTCGCAATCAAGTACGATTTTGGGTACTCCTCGTTGCGATGAGTGTTAGCAAAAACAAATAGAAAACTTGCTGCGCTTTGCGCGCCATAAATATTGAAGAGAATGATGGAAGAGAACAAAGAATGAACGGGATGGGTAGTATGATAAACTTTTTGTTGGGTGCTTTAATTTAATAGACGTCGCATTGACAACATAATGTTTGACAAGCTTGTTTGGTTTCAATTTAATTTTCGAAAATAAACTTTCATGAATGTATTGTTTTTGCTAATGTTGCACCTGCCTATCACATATCAAATACATATGTGCTAGGCTCCACTCTTTAGTTGGTCACTTTTTTTTATATGTGGTTAAATTTAAGTCTGAAATGTGAAACTATGGCAACAAAATGTATTTGCGAAAGTATTTGAAGTTCATCAAATAGCCCTCGTTGTATTTAAATACCTTTCTGAAATGTGATATTTTTATCGAAGTACTTTGTATTTGTATTTTGATAGATGTTTCAAATAGTTCGCCCATCTCTTATGGGAAAGATGTTGTATCGGAGCACGAGACATAAATAGGAATCAGGATTGTGCACTTCGCAGCCGCGATCGATCCCCAGATCCAGTGTTGCTTTCCAGTAGTCAAATGTGTGCTTTGTTAAATCTGTATCTTAGGAGTATCTCTCGCGGTTATAAAGCATGTAACAGCGGTAGGGTGCAAAGCCAAGTCACGTGTTCACGTTTATATTAATCAAGGGCATAAAGACCACAAGCCCGACACATGTTACTTTCATGGGAAATTCGGAGATAGGTCCTCATATGCCCTTTTGATATAGTTGAATGTGCTCAGGGTCATTCTAGTTATAATACGAATAATAATAATAACAATATTAATAATAATAATAATAATAATAATAAATGTCTTGATTTTGCCAACAATTTACAGTTGGAAAATGAAAAGGGAAAAGAGCAGTAACACAGCTTGACTATACTTAGTCATCAATTGCAAGCGAAAGTTTAGCCGTATGTATCTAGTAGAATAGGACGTATCTATTAAAAATACAAAACTTTTATTACGTGATTTGTCGAATAAATAAACCATATAAGTCGTAAGTAAGGGTATACAAGTATATACACAATCCTATACCTACGTTATTTTGTGCGCATTGGACTAATTCATGCATTTTTTTTTACTGAGATAACGTTTTTTATGTCTATAAGAGACGAAGCGACGGCCGTGCTAAGTTACGGGGTGGTTCCCATTTTAACGCATTCCCATTTCAATCTTCGCGCTTGAGCCTTCCCTATTCAACCCGACCCAAAGTACCTTTTCATTCCAACTTTTATCAATTCGCCCTATCCCGAAACAACCTTCACGCCTCGACCATTGTTATCTTGCCCTTAACGGGATTCTATCAGTTGAATCCGCTCAAATATTTTACAACCACCCTGGTGACGTAACGTACGCGCATGACCGTACGCATAGGTCGCTCATTAGGAACATGGTAGCACAGGCATTTATCCCAGCTCCCGACGGACATTGTGCGTGGATCGTTTTGTGCCCAGAAGGCACCTCTCTCGGTGTTTCAGGCTTCACCACTGTGCTTGATTACTTCAATAGAATCTGAATGACCGAAACTTTTGCCATTTAACAGTGGAACCACCATGGAAACCGAGAATCATGGACCAACAACCTTATGAAGTCGTGGCACTGAAAGATTAACGCAATGTCAGGGAGAGCCCACCCGAATATTTGCAGCTTCATTCACTTGATCGGGAGGAATGAGGCTTTCATAAGGATATCTTTGCTGCAACTTGCAAATGGTGTTGCCGTGCGGACCAGGGGCACAAGTGGATCACCAAAGATCGCAAACTATCTGAACTGGAGACACTCCGGTTCAGATAGTTTGCGATTTCTGACAGTGTGATTTCTTCATTTAATTTCCTGAATAAGGCAAAGGCATTTTCAGGTCTGAATATCCTATGCGCACGATGATTGCTGCAGATGTAAAAGAAAATAAAGTCCCAATCGCAGCCCTGTCTTCCCGGTCTCATTTATCACCCATAAAACGTTGTCTTATTCCGCAAAGTCGATTCCGCAAAAGCGTATATTAGGGGTGATTTACAAGGTATTGTTTAAAAATGTGGCTAAAATAGAAATATCCTATGTGCACAAGTGTTTGAAAGAAATTATTGTTTTGGTATGCATTATAATTTAAACAAAAATACACATATCGAACTTTTTTAAACAAGAAAGGTGTTCAGACGAGTGGTAAAGTGCAAAAACTGTTAGAAAATTGGATGAGATGTACAGGGCGTTTTGGGAATGGGTGGTAACGGGATGGGTTCAAATGCAGAGGGCGTTTTGGCAATGGGTTGTAGCGAGATGGGTTCAAACGCAAACGGCGTTTTGGGAATTGGTTGTTACGGGATCGGTTCATATGCAAAATACGTTTTGGAAATGGGTTGTAACTTCGCGGGTTCAAACCGGAATGGGTTGTTTCGGGCTACACCTACGCTATGTACTCTGAGTCACACTGTTAGCGGTAGACAACATCGACGCTTTTTCGCTTTGTACTTTAAAGAGTTCGTCGTGCATCGGAGTGTATCGCTGAGGTTAGTGCCCCAAACGAATACGTCCCACTGCCTATAGTAGCTTCGATGACGCCATTCTTCGAAGTCTAAGAGAAATAAAGAGGAAAGAAAATGACGGCAATCGCTCCTTCGTGCTCACAGTGTCGCGCTGTGTGCTTACAGCAAACTCGTGTCCCACTTGCGATCCGCAGTTCCCTGACAGACTACAAGCACTGCGTCACCCCGCTTATCAAGAACGACGCTTGCTCCACGAACAAGAACCTCATATCCAGGCTCCTCCACTTCTCGAGGGCAGTGGTTGGCGAGTACCAGACGTCGTGCAAGGTCATCGCCATGAAACGTAAGTGGGTTAACCTCAGTTACATACTCAAGAAAGGAGCACGTGTTTAGTGCTCGCTCGAAGGTGCTAGCGTCTTCAGAGTTGCGGGCTTTCGCATTTCATGCGAGTAGATATGGTAATGTGGTTCTATTGCGTGTGTTCGCATGTGGACCGAATAAAAATAAAGCAGCGTCAATAGTCTTAATCTGGAAAAGTGAGATTTTAAATATTGTTAGTTAATATATATATATATTATATTAAACTAGAGGTGGTTGAAGTGGGTTGTTTTTTTCTATTCCAAATTTCATTTCATAATGTTCTTCTTTTTTTTTTCAGAAATTACAGGTTTATTGTAAGCTGTGTCAATGCACCAGACTCTTTGGAAACTTTTCTGGGGAAATAATTCAGAAAACAGTTCATTCTCGATTTAAGAAGCCGCTAACTAAAATTCATCTAAATAATCTTGATGGTGCCATCTACTTTTTCTTTAAAGTGAGGGCAACGTTATATTTGTGTTACTACAAAGTTCAATTTCCTTATTAGGTCAGCGCATATCCAAGGTGTATTTTCTAAGATTGGCACTAATTCTTAGGAGCAAAAATGAAATACGTTTATACAATCCTCTGTAACGCCGACTTAGAGCGCAGCTGTTGAGGACGAGGACGGGAAGGTACGGAGAGGAGGCTATGTCCCGCCTCCACTTCTGCTCGCCTCCCATTTGGGGGAAATTTTCGGCTAAACTTAGCGGGGAAATGTTTTCCGCTAAATTTGGCGGGGAAATGTTTTGCTACATTTCGCGGGGAAACTTTTCCGCCAAATGTGACGGAGAAGTTTTTCCACTAATTTTTTCCGCAAAACTTGGCGGCGAAATTTTTCCGCTAAATTTAGCGGGAAAACATTTACGCTAAATTTAGCTGGAAATTTTTTCCGCTAAATTTAGCGGGGAAATTTTTTCCGCTATATTTAGCGGGGAAATTTTTTCGCTGAATTAAGCGGGGACATTTTTCCGCCAAATTTAGCCGGGAAAGTTACCCATAATGCACCGTGCGGTTACGCCGACGGCGACGGCGACGCCGCTCAGGCCGGAAACGGGCGCCTAAGAGCTGCGCTCTAAAAAGTCGTGAAAGCTACAATTATCCGGTTTGTACACGTGAGCTAAACGGCCAGGGGGACATGGTATATCAGGCTAATCGTAACGATCAGTCGGTGAATTAAGTAAAAAAAATGTAATTAACTTTTTAACTTGTGAAAATAGACATATGGTTCCAATTAGAAACTTGCTAAGCGTCACCGAAAAACACTAAATCATTAGTTTTTAAAAATAGTTTGAGCGCGTGGGAAGCGTACTAGTGCGCTAAATGTACCACTCGTGCAACAGGTACAAGGCTGGGGCTCTGTCTGATAAGAGACACAAAAAAAAAAAAAAAAAACTTTCAGCCTTTCCACTCTGGTGAAGAAGGAAGACCAGCGGAGCTGTACAACAGAAAGTAATGGCCGGCCGCAGTCCGCAAGCCAGAGTAGAAAGGCTGCCGCCATCTATGAGCGACGGCGGAAACCAGATACGCGGCTTGCCACCGTCGCTCATAGATGGCGGTAGGTGCCCAGAGTTCGGTGTCTTCATTTCTTGGCGGGGGACACGATCCTGGGGAAACTAGCCCTTAACAGCTCCGCTGTAAAAAGGTCGCGCGGGCGCCATATCGCAGCGATAGCCTAGCTCTTGCTGCACGAGTGTATTAAATTTAGCGCACTACAGCGCTTCTCATGCGCTCGAAGTCCTTTTGAAAATTACGAATTTAGTAGTTTTCGATGACGCTCAGCAAGTTTCTAATTAGAATCATATGTTCATTTTCACTAATTAGAAAGTTAATTAACAAGTTTTAATTAATCATCCAACTGATCGTTATGATTAACCTCCTATACTGTGTCCCCCTAGCCGTATAACTCACCTGCACACACCACATAAGTGTAGCTTTCACGGCTTTTTTTGTCTTAAACAATTAGTGTCACTCTTAGAAAAGAACACCCTGTATATTGAGTCACATGAGGCAAATACTAAAGCGTAGTGCAAACAGCTTCAATAGTATCCAAGTCTGAAGGTAAACGATGATGTACAAAGGACCCACACAGAATGGCACTTACAGAATGGCATGGGCAATAGCCTTTTCACTGTCGCCCGGGTTTTAGAAACCGAATAAAGCATTACATTACATTACATTACATCCTGAAAACCTCTCGGATAGCGTAACTCTAAGGCCAATTCCCTTTGCCACCGATATGGCCCCCTTACCGGTGCATTCTATCTAGAAATTCGTGGGACTCCAAAGTTTTTTTTTAAATATGCGGAGGGCGTACACAGTAAATACTCGCGATATTTGACTTGTAGAACTCTACATTATTGAAAAGAGGAACTCGACGCTCCGTTTTGTTTCACCCCAGAACACAGTAACTTTGTTTTTCTCTCTATCGTGGCAAAAACCTTTCTTAGTGATGATTACTTGGTTTAAAACAATAATAGGCATATTAAAAAGAAATCCAAGAATGGAGAGTCGAGATACTAATAAAAATTTGTTTTCTAAACTTTTTTTTTTTGTGAAAGATCTAATTTAAATTCAAATAGAAAACACCGCGTGATTTAAATCACGTTTAAATTTTTTTCTCACCACTCCGCCGTATACATATATATATATATATATATTTTTTTTTTACAATTAACAATTTAAGAAATGCCCGGTGCCGCGAGTCTCGTGCATTCTATTATCGCTTCGAACAAAAAAGATCAAAGTACGAATGACTAAGCAACGACCGTACAGATGGCAAGTCCCACCCAACGTTTCATAAGCCGTGAGTGACTATCGCAACGTGCTGAAAATGTAATCAATCGCAGACATGATGGAAGCTGAAGAAGTTGAAGACACGGCGTGTCTTCCGGAAGAACTGCGAGAAAGAGTCCTCACCTGCCAGCAGAGCGCCTACCGCACGATTCGGGCTCGAGACATTCACAGCGAAACCGACATATGCGCGTGAGTCCATCAGTCCGCCGAGGCTTTCCAAAGCACCGCCTATTAAAGTGCGGACAATTCTCTCGCTTCTATACTGTGCACGCCACTTAGCACTTAACTCGAAAACAAACAAAGAAACCACGCGGAAAGCCTCAGACGGGAAGCGGAGGATTCGCAAAAAGGAGCGAACATTTTGCTAGGAACTATGTTTTTCAAACGTTCATGAGAAAGTCAAGTAGTCGGAGCATCGAAACTTTCGAATTCAGATAAACTTTCTACGCACTTAGTTTGCATCAGAATGAAGCCTTCCTGCTAGTACATTATATATATATATATATATATATATATATATATATATATATATATATATCGTGCAGTAGTCCAGTCATTTCTCTGCCAATATCGGCCGGGCTGTCTGCCGTATGAACAAACAGTAACCTTCGCTTCTAGATATATCTGCAATTTTTTAAGCGTTGTTACTTAAACTTGGGCTTTAGTTATACGCAGAAAATCATAGGTTACGGCACGTAAGCAGGCTATCAGCGCAGAAATAATTTCAGCTCTTAAACCATGTTGTGATAAACGGTTTCCCAATTAGGGCACTGAGCGAGCCTTCAATAGGAATGACTTTAATTATTTGAAGGAATCTAATATTCGTAACCAAACCACGTTTGGGAACTTAATATCAATAAACTAGAGATTTGAGATTAGCAAAAAAGGCTTGTTGATAATTCGTTAAGCTGGCAAATTTCTTAACAGAAAACGGCATTTTCGTAATTCTTTAACCTGGTAAATGTATTTATCAGCTAAATATCCTACTTGTTTCACACGTAGCTTTCATCTTACGCTTCGCACTTTCTGTCGTCGGAATATTCCTGTCATACTAGACATTTTATAACTAACTGGGAATTATTTCATACTGGCTCATTAAACCAGTAATACCAACACGTTAAATCTAAAAACCTGTATCCGGCTTCCATCAACGTATCTTCGAATTTAAATCGCGGTTTTATCGTTGGCTGTCGGCAACGAAGAGTAGAAGAAAGAAGAAAATAGATGGTGCTATGGAGAATTTAGTAGAAGAAAGCGTTTTAGTCCTTTTTCTAAAAACGTTTTTTTTTATATAGGTTTAAGAAATGTCTTGCTTTAGTAGGTATTATTTTTGTCACACACATTTAAAGGCACCGAAAGTAGGCGATGCACGGGAACGCGAATCTAATCATTCGTCTGACCGTCTGTCGGATCCGTTCTTAACATACGTGACTCTTCTGCCCTTTTCTCAACTAACGCGTGTACAAAAACTTTTTTTTTCTTCTTTGCCTTTTTTTTTTTTTTTTTCGCAGGGAGTTGGACCTCATGAAAGAGTGCATCGAGAACGCTTTGAAGGAGAGCAGCTGTTCAAGAGACGGCGCTTCCAAGCAGGTTGCCGACGATACCATGACAGAATCCTACGCCAGATATAACGTTAAGTGTCGCCAATACTGACAGCCGTCGTCTGCTGACTCCTGCTACCACACGGTTGTATTTAAAAAAAAAAAAAGTAAACGCAGTGAACACATAGATATATACATAAAAGAGACTGCAGCACAACGTGTCGGTCTTTTATTATTATTTTTTTTTATTTTCTTGAGAACGCTACACTCACAAAGAACGGAAGCCGTGCCTGATATTGATAGAAATACAATATATCTATTCTGCAGTGATGACTCAAAATACTTTTTTTAAAGCTAACATGCATTGTTTTAAAGTGGAGAAGGTGCGTAATCATCCGCTTTGCAATGCAGTCAAGATTTGCATTGAATGTTACACTGCACACTTTTACTGTCCATTTGCAAATTTCACGGACAAAGAGGGTCGCACAGGCTCTGATAGCATCCGTGGAGCTAGGAAGCTTCTGGGGGCGACATGACGCCCACCAGAGGTTAAGCCACAAGTGTGGAGGGACACGCTCACAACGATGACCGAAATCACAGCTGTTTTGGTCACCCTCGGGTGCCCCGGATGCCATCACTCGCTCGCCGCAATATTCGCATCGCGTCATGGGCTGGAAGGTATCAAATACGCGTATCACACATCTTCGCGATCGTCCATAAAGTTACGTATCCGCACAGAGTATTGCTAGACGTGTAGCTATGCATATTGTAGTCCCTGGCTGCTTAAGAAACCCGGAGCGTGGCGTATCTTTCTACAGTCAATGAGATTGCTGCATTAGCCGATAAGTTCCCGGAAGCTCTGTCATCTCTTAAAGGGCGAAAAGAGTTCAAAGGTTAAGACCAAAGCTTTGCGTCCGAACGTATGTTTGAGTCAAAGCTTATTTCAAACCTGAATAGTAATCCAAACAATAATTACGGGCTATTTCAGTTCATGCCGTCCGCGACGGTTCATGATTCAGCTGCGCCCTTCGGTTAGAACATGAGGGGACGTACACCTGACGCTATCAAAAACCAATGAATATCTACGCTGATAGAAAAATAAAAATTCCACCGAAATCGTGCGGCACTGGTAAAAGGAGCGCTGAGAGACGGAGACGGGTCCGGACATCAATACCAACAGACAGTTACTTGCGTGAAAAGAAAAACGCGCCGTCGTGACTTCTTCCTTCGCCGGCCACGAATGCAGCACCTCAAGCCGGTGAGACGTGCCGTGAAGCCCTTTCCCGTAAACCAGCTGCCGGAGCTGGACAGCCAAGACACTGGGGACTCACGAAGTTCACGACGCGTCCCTCAGACGGCAATTGATCCGCCGAAATTGATGCTGGCGACCTTGAGATAATAGAATGAGCTAGCTAGAGCCTTTTAAGAGATGTCAGTATACGAGCACGCACTCAGAAGGTTGCATCGAGGTGCGCCAGTGTCGCGCATTTTGTCAAGTCCTTCCATGAAAAAGCTACTGGGACATTTCGAATCAACTTTTCAGGTAAGGGGAAACTGTGACACAAAAACAGGAGAAAGGCATAAACGATATATTGTTGGCGAACGATACTACAAACCAACGGAATGAGAAAATGTTTGAATGTAGCGCCAGGGCAAATGAGAAGTTTTTGGATAATGTGTGTGTGTGTGTGGGGGGGGGGGGGGGGGGCTCATGTTGGCCGCAATTCGCAGTAATATGGTGAGTTTTTGCTGTCGTGTCTTATTATTATTACAGCAGATCACTTAACCGCAGACTGCCCAGACTATTAGCATCGTATTTCCCTGGGTAGCCGTCTAACGTTTTCAGCTAAGTTTTCTCCAACAGCTCAGGATGCGTGTGAGCAAGATGTGGCTCCTTTTTGTGCTCGTCACTGCGACTGGCACGTCATCCGTGTATGGTGAGTGTTATGCATTCATGTCACACAATATCAGTGTAAACCACGATGTAAAACGCAAGTCGCCTGAGTCGTCCAAAAAAAAAATACTACGCCCTGTGATTCGAACTACACGAAACCCCAAAAGTAATTAAAACCTAAATACTGATAAAACTCAAATTAGCAAAGGTAATAGATTGACGACACTGTACTTTCTTGGTACTTTGAGTTCTCAACGAATGTGCACTTTTCTTTTACACGACCGTCTAGGAGAGAAATCCCTATTTCGGAAAGTGACTTATCCTGTCACTGGGAAAGAACAAGAGTCCCAACAAAAATTGCAGCAACAACATCGGCAGCAAAAGGAGCAGCACGTCTCTCCAGGTAGCCTTTTGTACACTTCATCTCTGACCTTCTAAACAAGATTAATTTCAACGTGATAGATGCTCAATCGCTCCGCACTTGGGCTGCTCCAGATATCATTCTTTGGTAGCATACAATGACAGTATACTAGAGGAATATAAAATACTATCGAGGTGTTTTGTAGCAATACACTATAGTCAGTGAGTTAATGAGTAAAAAAGGGTGGGGTTGGTAGACAATAATTTGTTTCATAAAAATAATCATACCAAAACATATTAAGTTGTAGTCTAATAGGACATAAATCCTGTTAGCAAAACCATTAAAAGGTTCTCGATATCTGGTTCGAAGAAAAGCACCCCGGATGGTCTCTGCCTATTATGCTTGCAAGCAGAATACTACCACTTCCGTCTGAAGAATGACATTTTAGTTAATACCTCGAAATTGTATTTCAGCTCTAGTCCTCTTTTTTTTTCAGTACTCCAAGCAATCCACTCGGTGGCGCCTTGCAATAATGATGGTGAGAAGTTCCGTTGCATTGTCACCAAGCTGAAAGAACTTTGAAATTACGCAAACATTAAGCCATATTTCAGCCATATTATTTTAAAAGTTGTCAAATCTGTGTCTGTTAGCGACGTGCGCGACCAAGAGCATTTGCTGTGGTTGAATTTCGCGATTGGTCAAATCAAAGCTTTCTATACTATGATACTGCCGGCCCAATCGCCGGTTCATGGCGGGGCAAATCCTGCCAATCACGTCGAGGCAAATTCTGGTCGCGACGTCTCAAAAGAACACCGTATGAAGGCGCCACCGAAACGTATCGACGCTAATAGACGCCCTATTTCTCAACACAATTTGTCCGAAACATATTGTAGAGTAGGCCGTTTTCTTTGCGAGCTACTTAATCTATTGCCTTACAATCAGGCCACGTTCTCAAAATTGAAAGTATCTGACTGAACTGGTGTTCAAATAATTTTTGTTTCCAAATGACAAAATCTAAATTTTTTTTTTTTTTTTTGTGTAAAACTTTTCCAGATTTTCTAGAAAAGTTAGAATAACAAATACAGTGCTCGTACAGAGAAATTCATGCTGATTTTGCATAATTAATTTCTAGGAACCTGTACGGAAAACGACTGTGCAGAAAAAACTCTCGTCGCTCTGAGCAGCCGCTGCAGATTTACCATTCGCGAAGGAACCAGGAACGGTCGCTGTGTGTACGTATTCAAACGACTTTGCGCGTCAATATCTTGAAGCCCCTTCTACTCTCCGCATTGAAAAATCCATCAATAAGGGAAACGCTCGCGTCAACCGCGTCAGGGTCATAAATTCAGAATTGTTCTTGCTCTAGCCCTTCTGTGCAAGAATCATTCCCTCCGTAGCTAATGACGTCGCTAAACTAACCCAAGAAATTGCAGCGAAGACAGATGTCTCAGGATGAATAAATATTTTACCTCAAGGTTGCGGCAGGTTTGAATAGGAATTTCGTTATTAGTAAAAAAATAAAGTATCTCAAGTTGTTGATATCTTCAAAACAGCTTGATAGAAATATTATCTCCATTAATAATGCACGTTGGGGTGAGATAGTGATAATATTTAAACAATTTAGTAAAATCACTCGAATAGCACAATATTCTTTTTATCAGAAATTCTACCTGCGATATAATTTTTTATGGAATGGCACGCAAACGTTCAGTTAACTGTAATGCTAAATATCAATGACATTTAACACCTCGCATGTGGCCCCGGCCATCGTTTGTCATTTCCTAACGGAAAACATATGCTTCACCCGGCAGGGACCCCACCGGGTACAAGCGTTGCCTCAAAGACATGCTAAAAGAAAACAAGTGTGTTCAGAAGAAACCCGTAACTCTGGTGGTTCGAGCACTCAACAAGCTACGGCGGGAAGCATCGAATATTCCGGCTCTTTGCCTTCCTGGTAAGCTACACTTACGACTGGAGTCCTGCCTCGGTACTTTAGCACACTGTCTTCACAGGTGTCAACGATGACCCGTCAGCAGAAAGCGATAATTTCTTGCTTTCGGAGGACTTAAGAAAAATGTACATAGGGACACAGACATCGCAGACTCCTTCAGTTTCATCGATCTACTATGGCAATCCTAGACTCGTTGTGTACCCGCAACTCCTTCTTCAACCCGGATCTCCGCAAAAACTTCGAGGGCTTGACCTAATCCTTATCGGATACTCCATATTTTTCGGCATTAGTCGCCCGGAAAAAATAATAAAAGAACAACAGCAGCTAGTTAATACCTTGCCGAGGGTTTCTACGGAGCAACACTCAGGCCGTCTCCTCGCTTTGGGTGCTAAAAATAGGAGCCCGATGGGGATAAATTTCGCCCAAGGGACTTTGGACTCTGACGAAGCTGAGACGATGCAAACATTTCAGCTGGGGCATATAGTCGAAACATCGCCGACTCCCAGACCACCCACCCACAAACTGAAGTCGGGTGTCACGAACGACGGAAACGGAAAGTGGCATGCGGGCAGCAAAAAGCGATTGTATAGTGTGCACAGGGGTATAAAGAAATTCAAGTTGCCGAACGCGGTTTTAATTAATGAGCCCAACGAGGCCCAGGAGACCGTTGAAAAAGCAGGCGAGGTCGTCGCTCTTGGGGAAGTAAAAGGTCGTCCAACCTTGACACAGGTGCAGCAGCAGATGTCCAAAACAGGAAAGCAACAACACAAGATCAGGATTGAAACGGAGACGCTGAACAAATTTGTAAAGCAGGCCACATCGTCCCCCATGTTACGGCTTTTGGTCGGGAACAAACCTTCCGGAGGTAAATCAACGCACACAAAGAAGGCTAGCAGAGAAAAGGTG